ATGAAATTTATGACCGACGATCTAACAGCAGATCCAGGAGCTCGGTCCGTTTTAGGAGCACGTACAGAATTTCACTTTACGTCCCATACTTTTGACCGGTAGTGTATATCCTCGTAACGGAATATACGAAGGGTCGAACGTAATTTACGCAATTCTACGGCTGGGATAAGATAACGCACGGACGCGGTGAACTTTATTAAATTTCTTTTTCCCCCGGACCTGCTGTGTTGTTCGAGGCTGGTCCAATTTCCAGAATCTCCACAGGGAAGCCGAGTGTTTCTTTCCAAGCCAAAGGGTAGAAACAGAATGGTTGGTTAGGAAAAACGATGAAAATTAGTCGAATTGTAAAGATCATCGCGTGGATTCTATTCCCGGCGGATCCAACAACAACCGAGGGATTTAGTTAGCCAAGCGTAATGGACTCCGCGAAGTGCATTATTTTTTTATTTCTTTCTTTCTTCTGAATGCATCAACGGGTTAAACCAACCGGAGGCCGTTCTCGCGCGCAAGCAACATTTCAATTACCGCTCGACGTATCCCATTGTTGGCGGCGAACTGAGTCGACAAGTTTGAATCTCCCTCGGTGGCACGGTGGTGAGCAATGTAAACATAAATTTCGAAACTACCGTCAGCGATTTTTACGAAGCCGCTGAAATACCGCGAGCGAGTCGAGAGAGCAACGTGGAAGCGCGCAAGGATGACGGGAGTTTTCGCGAGAAAAAGGGTATCGCAACGAGAGAGGAAGAAAGGGTAGGTAACCCCTCTTGCGACGAAGCGAGGGCAGGACGAACAAATTGCACTTCCCAGTCTCGTTAAAACAATGTCGTCGGGGGAAAAAGAGAAGAAGGGCCACGACGAAGCCGTGGAGGAAGGACGGTGACGGGGGGAGGGTAGAGGCCGAAGGAAAAGCTAGGTGGCTGCTGCAGCTTCCAACGAAGCAGTATTCAGGTGGAAAGAGCTCTTCGCTCGTTAGCATTTAATTGAGAACCTCGCGAGGAGAGGACTCCGGGTCCCGGTAACGACCGGTCGACGAGCTCGTTTAAATATTTTAATAATCTCTTGTATCGCGAACGGCGATTCGAATATTTAGCGGCGTCGCGATATCCAGGCCTCCTGGACCAGGCCAACCTCTTTGTCCCCTTCATTGGAAATACCTGGTAAAAAGGAGCCGAGAGAAATCTGTGTCCGTTGGCAAGAACGCGGTCGTTGGTAAACGATCGGCCGCGCCGCGCCACTTCCGTTTTATCGAAGCAATTAAAGCGAAATTTATCGATTCCACGACCGAATGCAAATCGACGAATCGAGTCGAGACGCGATCCGATGCGACGACAGTCATTATCCCGCGACGACGAACCATTGCAATTTTAAGCGATTCGATTTACATCCACCGAGCTATCTTACTTTTTTCAACAGCTCGACCCGAACCTACCCTTTCCATTATACAAGGTGAATAAGAACATTACATTTTTCCATATTTCTAAAAACAACCGTCCTGTTTATCTTTGCTCGAATCGACGAGACGAAGAAAATAAGACGAGAGGATTAATCGCATCGTCGATTCGATCCGCCTGACCTCTATTCTTTCGCAAAGTGGACCGTTGTAACGAGCAGGTCGTATCGACCCGTGAAACGGCCTTCGAATTTTCCACTCTAATGGAACGTGCCATTTAGGCCAACATTTTGAGACGACACGTTTTTCTTGGTTGTTGTTTTTTTTTTTCCCCCTCGCCTAGTTACACGGGCACAGCTGCTCATAAAGCGGCATACAAGCGCCTCGTTTCGATACGCGCCTATTTATCGGCTTTCCTCGAAGGCTCGTTCATCATACCGTAAAGCGATAATCAATTAATCGCAGCGAGAACTCGTATTTAATATTTAAACTTCTCGGCGAGAGAAGATTAATCCTTTACGCTCCGGCAGGGCGTCTATGATCGACCTATTTATCAGGGCAACCTCTTTCGCCGCGTTTTCTTCCACGCTCGTGTTACTCAACGGAACTTATCAACCGTTGTAAAATACATTATTGCCGGTTCGTTAATTTTTCAGAAATATTTATGCGAGCTCGTTCTCGGTTACCCGGCCAGCGTATCGTCGATCTTACCAGGGCGTTCCTTTTACGACGCCGTTTCGCCGTACGATAGTAGACGATTCTTTCCGTTGCATCGCTTCCTTATTAAACGTTCAATGATGCATTCCGCGCCATGAATAATCGTTCTTCACCAGCTCGCCAAGATGATTCTCGATACCTTTTACCAAGGATCTTATCGATCCCTCAAACGCGCCGTTACCCGTCGACCAGTTGAAACGCTACTCTTTGACCTTAATACTCGGAGGAAACTTGACCCGTGGTCAGCGTTAATCAGTCGACTTAGTAACCTCTTCCGACCGCAGCTAAGTTGACCCGATCAGGATGCTGCTCGTTTAAAATCTTCGATCTATCGTCGTCTAGTTTCGGTACATCAAGGTGAACCGAGTTCATTAGCTCACGAGCGATGGGTGCGCAAAGTTTCGTCGGGTGTGCCGAAGAGAGAAGAGGGTGACTCGACAAGACTCGTAGCAAGGCCGATTAGCTTACGCTTACGGGGCATCTATATATCGTCTTTGGGAACGATCGACAAATATAGCCAGAGTATCGTGTACTTCAGTGGCATTAACTCGGTTTCTCTGCACGGATTTCACGGCCGTCGACTTGGTGTTTATACACACCGTCGTCGTCGGTGGAATGCACGCCCCGGTACCCGCTGGTATTTGTTGTTTGCAGTTACTCAGCCCTCTATGTTTTCCCCGTCTCCCATACCCTCAAACCATTCCCATCGTCGTCTCGCTTTCTCACCCAGTCCATCCCCTACTTCTCCTTCTTCTCGCCCCTTTTACTACACCAAGAATGCACCACGCGTTGCCCCGTGCAAGCAACATACTCTGTGTACCGAGGGGTGGCATCGGGTAAAAGAGGGGCAAGGAGAATACAGTCTGCTGAGAGGGATTTTATTATACGGTAGAACGGAGACCCGCAGGAATATAACCGTGGAAATGCGCAAATAATACGAAAGCCACAAAACAGGCGGCAGTGATAACATCGCGAGAACACGGTGACAACCAAGAGGGACGAGAAGAGAACGTGCCTCTTCCGCCGAAGAATCCAACTACCCCTGCCCGCTCGCAAACGGCTACGCGAACCGTAATAACGAAACCAGCAAATATTTTTCATCGCCGGGTCACGTATACCGGGGAAAAAATACGCTACGCGAGGATCGCGAGGATAAAACTCGCGTTCGCTGTTGGATCTTCGCGAAGACGAAAGAAACGGACACATCCAGTCCTACGTACATATTTGTAAAAAAATAGAAAAAATCTTGTGTTTCATATTTTTCTTAGGTGGTAGCTCAAATATTTGTTCTGCCTGGACTCCTTCAAAAGCAAAATTCTACCTCGCTTCCGTTATTGTCGTCGAGGGAAGAACATCGATTGAAATTCTAATTCCGACGCGGGTCCAACTTTTACGAGCCGGTCAGCTGGCTATCTTAATCGAAATCGTACGATTAACGCCCGATGAAAAACGGTCGAGATCTAAAAGTTTTACGAGTACGAGCCGAGAGAGTAATCCGAACAGGGGCGAACTTGATCTATCGTAAGCTGGATCGCGACAGCCATCGTAGATGGTCGCGAAAGGATCTAGGTCGCGACCAGAAGGACGTAAAATCCTTGAACAAGCAGAGAAGAGGATCATCGGAGATGGTTTTCGATGTCCGAGCGATTTTTGATCGGAAGAGGTCAGAGCAACGATCTCCTCTCTCTCTCTTAGTTACTCTTTCTCACACTTGCGTTCGGTGTACAGAGGTGGATAGCGAGGTACACGGTTTCCCCATTATCGGGTGTTTACGGCGACGACGAGGGGCGCAGAAGGTAGCACACACGAGGTGGATCGCATCGCCACCGGTGGAGATCGCATCGGTCGCTCCGCATAATAACTAGCTACCACGCATTTACATTTTAATACGGGGCCACTCTGCATAGCCGGATAAAAGGTATAGTAACGGAGTAGGATGAAATGACCGACCTCTCGGGTCCTCATCGACACCCTCAGCCTCGCGGAAATAACCGGCAAATTAGCCGGAACTCTGCTTGAAGCAAGATCTCGAAAATTTCCTACACAAACGAGGGTGAATCCCCTTTTTCCTACGCGACTGGCTTGTTTTCGTCCTGGCAATTGTTGTCGTCGAGAAAAATACACGCGGTGATCTCGCGACAAGAGTCGATGGCGCGACTTTTTATTCGAGCCACCTCCTCGAACAGCAGCGTTAAAGAAGCGAGCTTGTTATTAATTCAGTTTGCAGCAGCCGTGGAGAACGGCAGTAAATTAAAGAGTACTCGCACCGAGGGAGTGAGAGACGCACACATACACAGACAGAAAGACGTATTACTCTATTTCCAACGTGGAGACTGCTAAGGCGGGAACGTCTTGTTCGACGAAAAAAAAAAGTGTAGTCTTCTTTACATTTTTCTACCAACAGCGACGACGATCGTTACTCTACTTTCCACTACAGGACGCTTAACGTACCTTGAAATCTACCGAAATGTTTCCCCCTTAGATCATTTACAGAAAAAGCATCACGAGAATGCGACGTTATTTTCAACGCTATTCCCCCTATATTTATTAACCTCTTATAAAACAATTGACAGATAAAAGAATCGTATCCGATAATATTTATTCATTGTAAATACGCGATGTATCGTTTGCGTTACTCGTTGCTATGCAAATCAATGTATTATCAAGTGCTCGAATCAAGAGGATAAATCGAATCAGCTCGTAAGCCCGAGAGATATCAAGAACGTATCAAATAAATATTGCATATCAAGATATTAACGAAAAATCAATTATTCCAGAAGCATTGATCGTGATGGTATTTAAATACACGGAACATAGAGAAACGTATATACGTGGCGCTACGTTGATGCGTGTAAGCGACTTATGAAATATGTATTTGCTGGCAAGAACTCACCATGGATGATCACTGGGAACCGTGGAAGCGATCAGGAAAGTCCGATTGATCCAGCAACTCGTCGTGAAAACGTCCTCGTTGGTCATCGATTATCCAGGATGAAGGGACGTTGCTCGTCGCAAAAGATTGCCGGTGTATCGCGTCGCAGGATCCAAGGAAGCAGCTAGATGTCCATTAAGATAAGCCACGGCCATGTTTAATGGCGAATCCGAATGTCGGCAACAAGGTTCGTTCGTGTCGTGGCGGTGGTGACGGTTGTAAGGGTGGTGGCAAAAGAGAAGGGTGACAAAGAAACGAGAAACAGGGGCGATCGTTTCGTTCGCTGGTTTATAGCGTTCTCGCGACGTATCCGAAATGCGATACTGCGGCTGGATAGGCCTTGAAAAATGTTCTGAAACAGGAAAAAGATAGCCGGTTAGCTATTTCGCAACGGTAACATCCGATGGAACGAAATCCATTTCGTCAGATGAAATGAAAAGAGCAAAAAGAATAAGAAAAAAAAAATAGAAAATGAGGTTCGAGAGGGTGAAGTTGGAAAAGGGAGAGAGAAGATGGAAAAAACAGAAAATTATTAAACGCGATCGTATCGGTACCGTGTCCGTGGACCGATGCAAATGGCCCATAAATTTGCGAAATTACATTGAAAATCAATGCGCAAGAGGGTAGCGAGAACGAAACAGAGAGGGTGAACGAGTTTTAATAAAAACTCTCTAGCCTTTTTGTCAACGCGGACCTGCTCTCAGCGATATTAAAGCCCGAACTTGAATACTGGCTAGCTCGTTTCGTCGAAATGAACGAGCTTACATATTCTTAACGGTTTTATAGCATGTAAGGGAATATTGGTATCCCCCCATACTGTTCTCGGTATTTTGCTTATCAACCTATGTTAAATGTTCGTAGTTTACTCTATTTCGTATCGTAGAATATTATAGCCTTCGAAAAAAAATTTTATGGTTATTATAAGAGAGAGACCACGCAACAGAAGCATATTCTACACGAAGCTTAAATAGTGTGACATTATGTACGAAAGGTGGCAATCATTCCCTTTATACTGTGAAAAAAAAAAAAAAAACAATAAAAGAATAAGAGCGTAGAAAAAAGCAGATTGACCTTATTCTCGTAATAGCCCGACACTGCCATTCGATCGACTCTTGTTTATCAATGAGAATCTAAGCCGCGAATAAACGGCGGTGGGTCGATAACCATCGTACCTGCTGCACACACCCTCGCGATTCTATTTGATTTCCCAGCAAACTATCGATCCGTGGTATCGATCCAACCGCTTCTAGATCTCTGGCCAAGTTGTCTCGTTCGTGGCAAGCGTGTTTCGTTATCTACTCGATCGTTCCACCGTAATCGGTTCTACGGTCACGCGCGAAACAATGTTCGCTTTCCTGGCGAGAGACCGTGCCCTGTTGAGCTGACGCTTCTATACCGTCGAATGGGGATGCCAGGAAGAGGGACAGAGGAGGGTGCGCCTGGTGTACGCAGATATACAACGGTGATTTATTAGGTGGAGAATTCCAATTCGCGGCCTGATTCACCGTAGACCGCAGCCGAATCCAGTAAACATCTTCGATCCTCTTCCTAACAATTCCTCCCGGTTCGTCGTGTGTAGGTAGGTGTGTGTCGTCGCAGAATTTCCCTCCGTTCCTCCATTTCTCCCGTATTCCTCGCGCAAATCCCATTTACACGAACGTTCCTGATGATTACTCGCTAAACAATTATCGTGTTGCACGTGTTCCCAAGAACGATGAGATCGTTAAAGAAGAGGGAGAATGATCGTCTTGCTTTAAACGGTACGATAAAGATGAATCATCCGGTTCTTTCGAATACTATGAACAACTCTTTATTTCTCTTCTGTTTGCGCAGAAACAGAAATGGAAAAATTTATTTAGCAGAATGAATAACGCCGGTGTCACCGTGTTGTAACACGAAACAGATGTAACGAAAAGTTAATCCCGTTGTTTGTTCCGTGTTTTAAAATAATTAATATTAGTAATCAGAAGCTTGGTAATCTTTGTATTATTTCACAAAGCTTTACCTGGGAATTAATGGCCCTGGAAGTGAGTAATAGTTTCAGTTCCTCAAATACCGTAGCAATGCCTTTATTAAAGTTTTACATTGAAATCGGACACGTTGAAAGGATTTCATTTTCCCAGTGAACATATCATAGCAGTATAAAATCCCGTTAAGTTCAGATTTTCTGGACAAATTATAAAAACGGAGCTCAAACAAATTTTTTAATTATTGCTGTAGGTATTCGAAAAGATCCACGAAGGAAATAGGATATAAAAGAGTTCGATCGCGGTGAGAAACCGGGTTCGTGACGTCCGCACCCGTACAATATCTTTCCACCAGCAGCAGAAACGAAGCTTTATAGGTTGATTGGTAGTCTCCGAACAGTTTATTACACCCCGGTCGACGATTTCGAGAATAAGCCATTACCGACTGGCAGACGTTGGCTGTCAGCATAGGAAGAGGTCGAACGTAGGGATCTACGTGCGTGATTCTCCCGCAAAAATATCGGTTTGGCCAGAGTGAGTTATATTCCCATAAGGTATTATTCCGCGGTAAGAGATGGCACGGCTACTATCTGATTCCGTTATCTCGGCGCCTCTTCTATACACAGTTGCTGGATATCACCGTGAAATAACAGTCCTCGAGAAATAACGTATTCCACCGTTCGAACCTTTCAGAAAGCTCTCCTAGTTACTCACTTTCAACCCTTTCTTCGCTCGATCCCTAATGATCTAGTCATAATTAAAAAATGGGACAGAGACAATCACGAAAATAAAGCGAAAGTTGAACTACTAGATCCGCGAACGAAGAGGAAATTTATCGACGATAGGTGAGATAGATGAAAACAGAAAGGCTGCCGACCGTTATATACCCCCTAGGTACGCACGCGTGAGTCAGCTATTAATACCCACAAATTATAAATAATGTCGCTGCCGCGACCACAAATCAACGTTTACCGTAATACCGGGCGAAGGGCTTTCGACCAGCCGGAGGATTAAGCGATTTCCGAGAGACGCCTACCTGCTGGCACCGGGGTGAGAAGATGAAGGGATGGCGGAGCGGAGGAAACCGAGTCGATTCGACCGACGTCCAGCTGCGATCGAAAACTGAAACCCGAGGGAGTGGATTTGTGCATTAAACCCCTTCCAGGGGAATATACTGGTTCGCGCAAAATGTTCGCTGATAATATCGAAGCTCTTACACAATATCGATATCGGTATCGTCTTCTAGCTCGTCGCAACGAGTCGCGCAAAGAAAATAAACTCTTAACCCTTACGTCAACCCTAAGAATATAGCCTCTGTTTATAAAACTATCGTGAATATTTTAGTTATCGGCACGAGGGTTAATGTAGCAAAACGTTAAGGGCAAAACGAGCGGAAGAAATTTTGCTCGACATCTCCTTTTTCTCGATAATCTGCTAGGCTAGCAAAGCTTATCGAAGATAGTATCGATAGAAAGTTTTAAGAAAGGGGATGACACCCTTACGGAGTCTCATCCACTCGTGGATACAACCCATCGGCATCGAGATAGCTTAAGAACGTAGAAACGATCGGGAAAAGTGGTAACGAGATTGAGTCGCGTAGCAAGTTGCTATGTTTACCGTAAACATTCATCAACTTGACTCTAGAATATTGTCTGCAGTTTGATGCACGCGCACAAACTTGTTTCCCTTAAACGTATAACGTATTCTGCGTTCGCAAAGCGAAAGTAAACACCATTATGAAATTGAGTCTGTTGCGTGTATTCTAACTAATCGTTCGACGCGGAGATAAATGGAATGTTCGTAAGACGACGACTACGACGATCGTGTTTGTGTTTCATCGCTGTCCAATCAAGGCAAAGTTTTTCCCTTTCCAGAATTACTCTGGAATTCTTGCAAACTCGACGTACAGAGTTCAAGAGTATTCTGGCTTTACGAAGCCTTAATAAACGACAGCCCGATGGCACCAGATCGTTGTTGTTTCTTCTATGCTCGATGTACGAAGAACGGGTAGCGAAAAACAAGCTGTTGTTCACAGAGAACGAATCGATGGAATTTCAGATACCTATACAGGGTGAACCACTAAATTTCATCCTCCTTATTACATCTGCTATTTTATAGAGATACGAAAGTTTAAATTATCTTTGTTAGTTTTATAATCTACATAAGAAAACGCAATTCCACTTAAAAAATACGATTGATCTTAAAATCTCCACAGTCGGTCCACCTACAAACAAAATTATTACCGCTACGTTACGGTCCCCTTGATACCATAAAACTTTCGTAAATAAACTTCTTTCGTATCTCTAAAAATAACGGAGATAATTAAGATGATCAAAGTTAGTAGTCCACCCTGTATACCAAAGTCAACCGAAGAAGAATCGACAAAGTTTCGCGTAATTGCTCGTCAATGTTCTAACAGAGGGAAACGTCATCGCGATGTTGGACGACGGTATTAGAATTGAAGGAGGGAAAAAGAAGGGTGAACATCATCGAATAGTCGGGGACAAGATGCCGTGGTACGATAACGGATGCCTGCGTCGCGGATCTTGTCTCGTTGTCTTCGGGGTAGCGTCGCGATGCGGCCGGCCTCGAGCATCGCGACGCCGCTACGAGAAGCGAGAAAGACCGAGCAGAGTACCGTCAAACAGATTGAAATCAACGGGAAGCGACTTCTATTTTCTCCTCTGCACTGTACCAGAGCCAGATCTGAAATGAAAATCTGTGTCCCCGCGAGCAAGGAACCGCAAGATAATTCAGAAAGGAGGAGAAGAGTGGCTGTTGGTGGGGAGGTAAAGGGGTGAAACGATAGAAGAAAGAGCCGTTCCTTCACGGATTTCAAGCGTTCCGTCAGGCTGATTAAAACGTCCGACTGCAACGTGACCGAATTACGAATTTCATTTTCGAGCTGAATATGCTCTCCCGTCATCAAGAGGGAGAGAACGCGCGGGCGAGCTTTTAATTTGCAGCTGCAAACGTTTCGATATTTAATTAACGATTTTATATTACAAACGTGCCTCGCTACTTTCGGAACAGATATTACGTTTAATAAGCGTAACTGAAGCGAAACTTCGACCACCGTTACATTGTTTCAGACTGCGCGCTCCGTGTATCATCTTTTACGGACGGAATGAAACAAGAATAATGAAAAAAAAAATGAAAGGAAAAATTACAACAGAGAAAGCAAGAGAGTGAGAGGGAAAAGGAATGCGAAAAAACTTTCCGGGTATCAGATAGAATTTTAGCACGGCAAAAAATACGAGAGAAAGGAGGGCTTTAGCTCTCGCGTGAATCTGCCCGGTAAGCGTTTTTTCCCTCGACTCCACCACGAACAAGCAAAGAGAGATGAAAAAAAAAAATCTCGTGGTAGAGTTTTCAGTTATGGCAAAAAATTTTATATAATTCAAAGTCAGTTGAAGGACAAGAATTTCGAAAAATCTTTCGTTCACGCGTTTACCACCCTTCGAAATCCCTTCGAGAACTTATAAGTTCAGTTTCTTTCTCAAACGAAACACGTTACTTTCATGGTGTACCTTCTCTTCGTTTTTCTTTTCACCCTACTCTAACCTCTGTTCAACTTTCATTTCCTAGCTCGTAGGAACTTTCGATTAGATTTTCCGAGAGGAACGGCGCGAAACCGACGCCCACCCGAAACGACCCTCGAGTAATTTCAGTCGAACGTCTCTCGATCCTTTGACGGGCTTCCGTTCCGGCTAATGTAGCCGTGCATATTCCGACACGATTCCTGGGCCCTGGTTGCAACTACGCTACAACACCGGTACAACCGACAACGTAATGTACCTACCCCGTCTTGCCTCGACCACGAATCAAGACGCGCGTTTAATCCGTGTTTGACGCTCGCTAGCCTGTTGGCCTGGCTGGGCACAGACGAGCGGTGCGATATTGCGCGAAACCGAGCAATTACTGTCGGTAATCTCGCTAATAGAATTCCAATATGCGTGCCAATTGAACCGAGGCACTGTATATCGTGTGGTCGTACGAGCGTGAATCTGCAGATTGTACGCGCACGACGAAAGCCGTGACACGGTTTACCCATTAACTACATCCCTCGGTTTACTTGGTACTTGTTCTTTGAACGTATAGAGAGCGCTAACAGTAACACGTGGTGATGGCGATCATGAAATTGTATGTTGAATGTATAACAAGAAAAGTCTTATGAGTATCACAAGTCAGCTTCGATTTGCGATTCTACGTGCGATAATAGTATGCACAAAGACTAATTTCCCTTAATATACATTAAAAGGAAGCTGCTTTTAAAAATCCTATCTATAAGACGCGGCGTAATAACTAAGAAGATAAAAGTTTGCGGGAAATGTACGGTTATAATGGTGTCAAGAGACAACGTGATATAGAGGAGACAAGAATGGGACTCACCTCGTTAATTGGACTTGGTACGATGAAGCTGCCGCACGAATTGTTCTCTATGAAATTACCCTGATATCTCCTCGTCGTTCTTTTGTACAATGCCACCGTGTTATCTTGATTGTGCACGAATTTTCCTTCTTCGAAACTGTTACGAACTACCGACGCCGCGCCGTTAAGCTGGTCACGTGACGCACCACGCTCGACAAATCAGTACCCGAACCTGTTTCCGGTCAAATACCGGAAACTCGCGCAAACGCTACACGACTAACGTAGTCTTTCCGCGTCGGAATAAATTCAAAGTGCGAATTCGGAAGTTGTGTGCCTGTAAATCAGTGAATTTATCGGAGTGTAAAATACATATTGTGACAATTCGTTGGCCAATTACATTCAATTGGATCCAATTAAAGTCGACACGAACAGAGGTGACTTTACGATTTATTGAACCAGTGATAACGATCCTTCTCGTTTTTCATGAAGATGTGAAAACACGGATAACAAACTGTGCCAGGATATAATTGTGCTCAGGGTTCCATGATCTGGGAGAGAAAGAAATTCGTTCAGGTATGAACTATTGAAAATATTTAATGTCTTTGTAACATGGTTAACCTGTACAAATTTGAAGTATTGACATAAGCATTGAATGGAAAACGGAAATTAATTGTATAGAGGTTATTAAATGGTAACTTCAGTTACTGACATTGAAAATCACTCAAATAACTATCGCATGATAAAAAAGCTAATACATATTTTATTTAATTTGAAATTACACAAATGCGCCTTGTCCAATTTAAATATTTCCCTATATCAATAAGTGTCTATAAAAAGTCAGTAAATGTTTATAAACAATTCATCAACTTAGAAATTGATAGGCAGTTCATTGACTAGTTGGTGGAGATTCACCATTATCGTATTGGCTCTTGTTCCTTAACAAATATCCTGCTAAAAAGCTAATAGGGTCAGCAGGTCTTTCCTTAGCTAGGGTTGACAGTGCTTGTAACAAAATTGGAACTACGGTTTGATCCAAGTATTGTCTCGTTGGTAGAGATTGTACTTCAACTCGAGATTTCTTTGGCGGTACACCAGATAGATCAGAATCCTTATTCATTGCTAGTATCCTCTGTAACAAGAAATTTCATACCACATTATCATCAATATTAATTTCATTTTGATGAAAACAAACAGACATCTCTGTTGTTTACATGCTTTATGAAAGATACAAAAATAATAGGTCTAAGAAGCAAAAAAGTATTTGTAAGTAGAACAGAAATCAAGAGAGGCAGTAGGATAATCAGATAAACCATACATTCGTACGATGTAATTACAAATAAAACTTTAAATTTTAGCATAACAGCTGTCATCAGATTGGCGGGAAATATTGAAATTTTTCAATTTAACAAACTATTCAAAATATCGTTCACGAAAGGTTACGGTTTATACTGTAGGATTTTGCAATTGATATCATAAAATTGAAATCACAGCAAATTAATAGCAAAACAAAAGTAAATGGTTAGCGTAACAGGTTACGCCTACATTTATAGGTTATCTAACTTACGTGCGCTGTTTCACTCACAACATTGGTGAGGGGTTGTGCCGGAGCTGATGGCTCGGTTCTTTCTTCTGTTGTATTTTCTGGCGTCACAAGAATAATAAATCGATCAACATCGTTATCATAACGAAACCTTGTTTAAAAGGTATCGCTTAACTTTACTTATTAAATGATAAAAAGCAAAATAAACGGTACGTACCACCGCCGGACGCCATCGTGCGAACAAATGATGCTACCAACTACTACAACTTATCACCTCACAAACACTATTCAAATGTTACCACGTACTATAGGAGTAGAGTTGATCGCGACATCGTAATGAAAACTTTGAAAAAACATTTGTATTTGTGAATTTTCAACGCGTTGCTTTCGTAATATTATAGATTATGCATTAACAGATATTTAAAGTTATTTTAATACGACCAAGTAGTTAATCTGACAGAATATTTGAGATAAAACGGTATGGTACATTAGGAGTTTAAAATCATAAACAAATAATTGTGTTTTTTTTTGGTTTTATTTATTTAACGTAAAGTTAGACGCTATGACTTTGGTACAAAAACATAAAATAGTGGTACTGAGGAAACGGTGTACTGCAAGCGGATCCTCGAGTCCCTACGAACGCGGAGAAATACGAGTATCGTTGTACGAGAATGCAAAGTTACAGCCAATTTAAAGGCGAGCACTGAGCGCAACACAGGAGTTACTAATTACGAAATGTCCCGAGTCTGCTTGCAAACGAAAACAGATTTAAACGATACGCGCCCCGCCGAAGAAGCTCGAAGAACCGCCCCGTTGTTGCACGAAACTAACATCAAGTATTTTCCATGGAACAAAGCATAATATTATAGGTATAACCCGGACGGTGTTACCGACCGTTTCACAGCATCGTTCGAAAAATAACATTAAAACCTTGCGAAGAGAGAAACGATACCAGATCGATCACACAAACCATAACGACGAACGAACGTGTTGCCAATCGATAGTAAAATGAAAGTTACGCGACAATTCGCGGACATCACGTTTTTTTTTTTATTTTTTTTTTTTTTTGTTGCTTTTTCTTACTTTAAATATCGACGCTCACGTGCGAGCAGAGGCGCACGCGAAATCGATCGCACGGTTAATATTGGAATAAGTTAAATATTTCGTCGAATTCTCTTTCATCGCGTTAAGTTTCAAAGCTTCAAAGCGAAAAGCTCCGCGAGCGTTACGTGAGTAAAACGTGATATACATTGTTAAAAGGTGACTTGGATATGGCTACATTTAATGTGGTAGAGCGCGATCGTAACACATACACGAGACACGAGACTTTGCGCAGCCTTTAAAATCACATCGATGAGTAAAAAGTGCGTCGGCGAGCGGAGTCGCAGCCAGCGATACAAAAGGGTGATTAGGAAGAAGATAAAAAAAAAGAGAGATTTGTGTTTCACGGTCAAAGTAACCCGGCACTACCTCATCGTCTACAACGAGGTATTCTTCGACCGTGAACTCTCAACTGGTGTACCACTCGTGCATCGCCTCAGCAAATAAATGCGACACCTAGACATATCTACTTACAACGTATTGTATATGAACGTCAATATATATATATACCTTTTTATTTATATATTTATATATTTCCGTATATCTAAATAGTGTTGTAATAAAAACGAACTATGAGTTACGCGCCGCAACCGTTTCGAGGCAGACTCGTCGAGCTGTAGATTTAAACGTCCAAAAGATATCTCAATTTTGCCTTTCTTTTCTAATTCAAATACTAAAAGCGTATCTATTAAACCTGAAGTGAGAATTTTGATATATTTCCTACGCTCGATCCGTCATCGTTCAACGAAAGAGGAAACGGCGCTCCTCGCGACCATCCGTCCATCTTATATCCTACTTACGTTTAAATCGGTACTTGTTGCTCGAATTGCTTACACGTATAATATCATCGTCGCATTATCGTTAAATTCACGTATGTACGTTCATAATTGATCGAGATTAGCTTGCGAATATATGTATAATGTGTGTTTATGTACGTGTGTATTGCGGACTAAATATCATATAGGACGATTAAAAATCGACAGCGAGCGTGGTGTGTTCGTGTGTGTGTGTGTGTGTGTGTGATTACATTCGTAATTATTCCTGTTCATCTTTTTTTTTTTTGCTTTTTCTTCTAACGTATGAAATATCGAATGAGATGTGGTCGGCTGAAATCGTGTGTCTCTGCGATAAAGCGTGCCGCGTTGTTCTTCCTACGGATCGGTCAATCGGTGTTCTCGTCAAAATTTCGTTGGTTCTAAATTGTTTCTGATTAAACGTCACCACGGCATCGATACGACTCGTCGTCAGACTACTGCTAAAACACGACGACAACAACGACGACGCACTCTCTGCGACACTGTCGCAAAACAGTGCTCCTTAGAAATTGCTCTCCGCGACGTCGAGACTCCAAGATCATCGATCACCAAAATAACGGGGTGGACAGGTGAGGGGTGGGGACACAACCTTCGTTACGAAATTATAAATCGTATATATGTATAGTATCATTAATATGTGTATGTATGTATGTATGTATAATATCATATGCCTGCCGGGTAGGGCAGTGTGGCACAACCATGACTTAAAAAGCGAGTAACTAATGTATCTCGTGTGTACTTCCCGTGACTCGTGGGCGCGACAATTGGAAGCGACAATTGTAACCTAGGATACATCTCGCCAAAAGACCCCCCGTGAAAAATTTACCGTCGCCGAGAGCACGCGTCGCGGGCCGGATTTCCTGTCGCGTTTCTCAACGTCCACACGAACATGCCGGGTGTGTTCGCTTTTCAAACGGGACCCTCGTTAACGTCGTTCGTTTCATTCTACCGTACGCAACGACGACGACGACGACGACGACGACGACGACGACGACATTTTGCCTGACAACAGAAAAGTTTCCTCTTCGTCTGGAACGGCAGTCAATGAATTTGGCAGTTTCGTAATCCTGGCCTTGGTAATTGAGCAAGAACGAGTGAGCGATCGAACATCGAAGAAAAACACGAGATCGAAAGATAGAAAGGCCGTAAGAAAATGGAGAGAAAAACGATATGGTCGAAGACGAAGAAGAGGGTCCTCTATCATTTCTTTTCTTTTCTTTTTTCTTTTCAAAAAGACAAGCGTATCGTCGACGATGCGTAGGATTGTTGTTCGAGTTCAACGAAGAGTACACCGTGTGAGATGGACCGAATCTATCTACTCGCGACGATGGTGATTTTTCTAATGATTAATCGTTGCAAATTGGACCGACGACAGCACCGGGGGAAGAGTTAGCGTGTGCACTCTTTCCGCTTCTCTCGAGTCTTATTCGGCCGCAATCGACGAGAGAGACGGAAGACCACGGAAGATGATTTACAGGTTACACTGCCACAGTATCGTAGGGTGTGAGGAGTCCCCCGTGACCGCCGTGGCCGGTGCCGGTTTGCCGGCCGGGGGCTTCGTTTCTGTAACAATTAATTTGCAATTTTAATCCTCGTCCTCGTACTTCGTACTTCCCTGGCTGCTCCAGCGATTCTATAACAGTATGCTCGATGAACGAATGATTGCTACAACGCATCTAATGGATAGCGATTGAAACAACTCGCGGAATGCATGCAATGACTGCGAATCGAGGACACATTAGTGAGACAATGAATTTCTGCGTTACTTAAATACGATGATAAATTATTTAATAGCGGCGGTTAATGTTAGTAGCACCAGCAGCAATGGCAGCGTATCTGTAGCAACAACAGGAGCGACAGCTGTAGCGGAAACAAATAAATCGGTATCGATATACCTTTTGGCATCAGCTAGTGAACAAAAAAAAGGATTAGCGTTAACTACACAAGTATCATGAGCGACAGTTGTCACCATGATCGCATGCAAACACACGTTGACATTATTAAAAGCGTCATTTTGTTTTTTTTTTTTTTTTTTCGACCCAGGTAGAGATCTGATTGTCGTTGGTATGAAAGCGACGCTGTCGAAGCATTGACTGACCTATTCTCTTGGCCACAAAACAAAACTAGCTAAGGAACAAATTTAAACGCAACGTTCTAAAGCCTTTCGAAAATCACGTTCTAACGCGATTATCGTTACAAGAATGCAACCTGCATTGTAATTATTGTTTAATTGTCTTAACGAACTTACGGCTTCCTGCGTAAAGAGCCATGAAACAAGAAAAAAGTCAGAGATACGTTAAAAATAGATTGTCAAGAAGGATTGCGCTAGAGTTCTTTTAGCGAAAACCACCGTGCACTCGATCGCCACTATGATACTTTTTCTTTTTTTTTTTTTTTGGAACGCCCATGAAACACTCCGATGGAAACTACGTTGGTACCAATTGTTCTATGAAAAAGTAATTAACGCGTAGTAGAGAGCAGGTCTAGCAAAGAATGCGTAGAGTCGAGAATGAATGACTTTCGTACAGTTAGGACGAGAAATCGAAGCGACTAATTTGGGGTTGAGAAAACTCGGGCCAATTTATCTACTATTCGAGAAAGTCAATGACAATTCTCGAGTCAAGAAATCGCTCGAGACACAGCGGCATGAGACGGTGACGATTGAATCGGTTGCACCGTTTTAACCAAACTCACTCGATCTCTACTGACCTCTCTATGAGTTTACGCATCTCCTCGGTGGTCATGCCGTCCTTGCCGCGAGCATTCACTGAAATAGAAAAACACACGGCACGATTGACACAACGGTAAACTACTACGACGACACGTAGCATGCAAAATCGTTGAGGCTAATAACGATTAGGATACACAGACTCCGCAGCGAGTCCCCTTCATTCTTGTGCCTCGTGACTCGCTCGGCATGCCTATATTCGTCTACTGTGTAAGAACGAGCAACGACAGGAGACGAAAACGGCGAATATACGGGGCGAAACGAAGATGATCGATCGACTTGACCGTAAGAATGGTTTTGTCGATCGAATTCGTTCGTGTATCGATTCGCCCTGGTGATTCGATCTCTTCATCCCCTATTCGATTACGGTTCTTTGTACTGACCGCCGTAGTTGCGGTTCACAAGTTGGTCGCGATCGCATTCTGCCTCGCTGATCTCGTTGCTCTCCTTGCTGTCGTTGAAGCTCGAGTTGTTCTGGTCGTGGTTCCTTGGTGGGGGTGGTGGTGGTTCGGGTGATCCGGAAACAGGGATATTGCGGGCCGATCCTACGCTGCGACGACCAACTGAGCCGCGAGATCCGTAGTGATCATAAGGAGCGCCATATTGTCCGTATTGAGAGCCATATTGATCTTCTTCCGGTGCACAGTTTGCTGGGTCGTCGTATTCGGGGGAGAAAACGTTGTGGGTTCCGCTGCCGCCTC